AAAAAAAAAAAAAAAAAAAAAAAAAAAAGAGATTGTACAAAGGTATTAAAGCTATTCATTTGATTTTTAATATCAGGCACCATAAGCTTATTCACAGTTCTTGTATTTCATACAATTACAGCTGAATTGATATTTTACTGAAAATTCCTAGAAAACTGTTGATAACAATAAAAAATAACACTGTCAGCTTCTCTGCTTGTATTAATAATTATAATAAAAAGTTACATGTTTCACTTTAAAAACAAACAGTACCACTTGATGATTTTGCATAATACCTGTATTACACAATGATGTAACCCATGGCAGGCTACAACAGCCCTGACTGGTATTGGAAGTGACAAAATCAGCAAATTTTTTTCTTTGGACAATTGAGCTCCAATACAGCAGGGATGATTTAGTTTCAACAGGCTTATATGGTATTAGATTAGAATAAAAGAGTCCATTTTCACAATCCCCCTATATATTTATTCCCTTTTCCAGCTCAAGGATATTAAATATCACTAAACATTCTTATGAAAAAACTTCACTGATTCTTTTCAATACTTATCTAAATGCTAAATCTTAAGACTCACTGACTTGTGTTGATTATGATAATTTCTAAAAATCATTTTCCATTTTGGCTGTTTCTATGAAATAAATCTACAATACTAACTGAACTTTAAATGTGAGTCCATTCCCAACCCCAAGCCTGCCCCAAAAGAACAGCTAATTCATTTCTCTTTACTTGTTCTTTGGTTAGAACTAGTTATATCTTAAATTTGTTCCTTTGACATTAAACTATTAAAACTGATAACTAAATCTAATGTTAACAACCTTCAAAAAAAATTGTTTTAAACTCTTGGCTGAGGTTAATAAATTTGGGTCTATACCAAAATTCTGATTACTCATTAAAAACTTAGAATGAGTAAAGCTAATATTTCTGGAATTATAACTGACTTCCACTTACAACACCTAAAATAATATCAAAGTTGGCTGTACATACTGAAAGGAACCTTTTAAAATCTTTATACAGCGAAGTCCTTTCAGAAATTCACATTAAACAACAACTCCACATTAACTATGCAATTTTTTGTTATGTATACCAAGAAAAAATGTTTCTACTAAAATATCAAATTATCTTAAGTACTTTAAATGGTTTAATCAGTACTCAAAGGAACCACAGAGAAAAATGTAACTGTCACTACAATTGAACTGTTTATATACCTCTCCAGTTTATAAGTTGATTTTTCCTTGGCATTTGGACTTCAATAATGAAAAAAATGGTTGTGATTTAATGTCAAAGCCAGATTTTCTCTAACAAGATTTCACTGTAGATAATAAAAATACTCCTGACACATCTTTTTTACAGATGCAGCTCAGCAAATCTCCTTAGAAAAATTACAAGGTTTTTGCATCAACTCACAAAAATAGAACTTAATTTTTATAAAACAGTTAATATTGTTAGAAACTACTAAAAATCATTCTTATGCAGCATCTCTATACAAATTATACCTTGATGCATTTGATTCCTTATGAAGCTTCTGATAAATCACAGTATTAATAACAATAATAAAGAAGGAAATTTGTCTGGGTTGGTTACCCTTTTAACTTTTATAAATGTACTTATTCAAATTCAAAATTACTTGCTTTTGCATTTGCATATTCAAGTGCCTAAATATGATGCTGTAAATGCAAAGAAAATACATAGGTTTTCTGTTGGTTTTTTTTTAAGACAGATTCTTGCTATACAGTCTGTACTCGTCTTGAACTCAGCTTCCACTGCCTCAAATTCTTGGTGATACTACTGCCTCAGCCTCCTTGAAGAGGAGGTATACAAATATGTATACCATGCTAGGCTTAGAAAATATCTAGTTTTTAACATTAACGTCTTTAAAAATTTTTTTCAGAAATATTTTCTATTCAAGAAATCATATAAAATGTCAATTATAAATAGGAGCGAAGCTTTCATAACATTTTTGTTTCCAATCCCTCAAGAATTTTTTAGATCTTTTCAGGCCACTTACATCCCTTGCATCCCAAACACCTAGTTCCTGGCACAAAACAGGTATTCACAAAGAGGTGTGAATACAGAATATCAAAATTCAGGCTTGTCTTACTTGATACCACCCCTCAACACAAGTATACCTAAAATGTTAGGTAAAAACTGAATTTTGAAAAAGCAAGTAATATTTTTAATGTCATGTCATTTAAAGAACATGAGGTGAATCATCCATCTCACTAGACTAATATCCCAAATTTGTCTATTTGTGAATCTAGATTTTTATATATCAGGTTTGCTGAAAAGCAGGTTAACTTTTTAAGACTTGTATAATCCACAGGACTAATATGAGCAAAAAACATAGTACAATAAAATTCACATGGGTTCTGGAATCTAACTTTCATTAACTTGCTTACAGGGACATAAGCAAGATCCTTAACTTAAAAATCTGAACATCCTTATAATAAAATAGGGATAATAATCCGATAGGGCTTTTTATAAGGCCTAAAGCCTGGCTGAGTTGCATGTAAAATGCCTCATCCCTTCAAAGACTTTCAATCAAAGCACTGACTTTTGTATGTAGTTAAAAGGTATCTTCACAACTATTTACATTGATTGACTAGGCTTAGACATGACAACACAGAAAACTTTTAACACATCCTTACTTCTGTAATGAAATATTCTAAAACACAAAAAATATGCTTTAAATTGCTACAAGTAAATACAGACTTCATTTCACTAGTTTAAAAATACATATGATGAGCCTGGGGCTGTGTATATCAGTGCTAGAGAGTTTGCCTTGCATGCAGAAGGCCATAAGTTCAACCCCCAATACTGCTAAAAACAAACACACAAAAAGCAGAAAGACACATGATAAGTTTTTTGGACTTATTTTCCAGCCTCATATAAAAATCTAAAAAAGCAAAATAAACATAGCAGCTGTTTTATCAGCAATTTAAAATCAGTGGGAATAATACATGTGATAATAGAATCTTAGAGATATGCCTAATAAATTATGATAAATACTTTAAAATGCAATGATGTTAGTCAAGGTTAAAAATATAGCATTTGAATCATAATTATCCTTGCTAGTAAAGCAGAGCTGTAATATGGACTATCCAAAATAGCATGCAAGTTAAAAATTATTTGTATCTAGCTTTGGAATATATGACCTGTGTTAGATTTATTTTCCTAATCATTGCTTTGCTTAATATTAGCTTAAGCAAAATAATGATTAAGGTAATATTAAAATTAATTTGCTTCTATCAATAAGCACCAAGAGAGTAATATTAAAGGAATACATGCCGGATACAGAGAACTTAGTTCAAATTTAAAATGTGCCTAATCTGAAGAGGTGATTGTATTTTTTCTTGACAAAAATACACAATGGTTCAAGAATTTATATTAAACAAAAATCACTGATATGTATCTCAGAAGCTGTTATAAATTACCTATATTTACTAAAAATTTCCAACTGTTAGAAAGTAAAACTTCAGCTTTTTGTATGTAAAGTACTAAAACTATTGTTTTATTTCAACATTAGTTATTTTGCTGAATTGGTAACAAGAATGAGATAATTAAACCTTCTTATTATGTCTTAAAATCTTGTTCTCTATCCTAAAATATAACATAGTCAACATAATATCATGATAGATTTTTCCAAACCTAAGATTACAGAGGATTCAGTAACATTTAAGAACAAGTTTAATAATTATCTAAAAATACCAAACTAATTCTTGGAAATTCCTTTTTTAAAACAAGCTCACTACTGAAAAGTGATTTTGATTACCATCCTCTAAGGATGTATAGCACAAATTTTTCTATACTACCAAGGTGCAAGATTGAGTGAGTCTATTCATCTTTTCTTTTCAGTACCAGGGATCGAACTCAGGTCCTTGTGCTTGCGAGGCAGGTGATGGCACCACTGAGCTAAATCTCCGGCCCGTATTCATTTATTCTTACACTTCACTGATTATGCTTGCTATAACAGATGTTTATTAAGTAGGTTTTTTTAGAATTCTTAAAAAATATTGAATGATTCCACTTTTCAATTAGTTGCTTGAATATGATAATTGATCACTTAATGTTGTTTTACAAAGAATTAAGCCATGTTATGTTTTCTTTAGGTATTACACTATTTGATAAATTGTTATTTGTATTTATTTTTTTAAAAAACTAAAGTATTAAGAGACTATGATCTTATGGTCTAATGGAACTATTTTGATTTTTAAATATTTTTCTATATATGTATCAATATTTTAAAAGAAACTGCTACGGAAAGAAAAAAAAGAAGAATGTACACATCCATGAATGAATCAACATTATTAATAAATTTTAGGTGATTAATGAAAACACCAAAGAATCTACAAGTTATAGGTAATGTTTAGAGTGTACTTTCTTTTTTAAAAATTATTTATTTTTAAATCAACAAAACAGTATATATTTATGGTACAGAACATAATGTTCCAAAATATGTACTGTTCACATCACAGAATGGCTAATCCAGCTAATTAACTTATGCCTTTACTCATTTTTTTTTTTTGGTACTAGGGATCAAACTTCAGACCTTTGCGCTTTTGAGGCAAGCGTGGCACCACTGAGCTAAATAAATCCCCAGCCCCTCACAAATATTTTTAGACATGAGAATATTTTAAAGTACAAATTGCTATTAGGTAGAGTTGCTATTTTGTACAATAGCTAAAAGTCACAGGTGGTTGATTTACAAAGCAAAAGCTAAAATACAACCATAAGTACTTATAGTGTACATATTGTATTAACAGTTGTTAAACAGAGCCCGCTCCCCCCATAAAACACACTATGGTCCAACATATAAAATTCAGCTACCTTGAAAACTGGAAGCAGACTACGTTAAAATGCCATTTTGATTCCCAGTTATATTCTCTTCCTCTT